ACATGCTATCTTTCTACACCAATACCTGCTTGCTTTTTCTAAAAATAAATAAATAAATAATATTAAATAAATGTCATGGCTTAGGTTGGCCTCAAAAGCCACTCAGAAAATTTCTGTTCTCAGGGCAATTACTGATTTATCATTTAATAAAACAAAAGCAACAAGGAAAATACTGCTGGAAGACCATATGGGCTAGGTGAGCACCTGGGAGAAACCCATATTGCAGCAAACACGGATCTCAGATTTGAAAACTTTCTTTCCCTGATATGTCTGCTGAAGCCTGGCAATAGATACCAGTTACTGTTTCAGATCACCTAGTCTCAAAGCTGCATGATGAGCTGCAGCCTTCTTCTACATTGCATGAAATGGATTGGAACAAGGGCCCACCATATGACGGGTCCATGGGACTCACCTGAAGACAGGATACTCCTATGCCGACAGCTCCCATTATCAAGAGGTGATCTGCCAGGAACTGTTCCAGTTTAGTGATACATCCTCCCTGCAAACAAGATCTCTGTTTACAACAAAGGATACTCCAGCAATGTCAACAAGCTGTAAGCCCCGTTTCCTTGCTTTCATATGGAACTTTTACAGCTCCCAACAGGAAATTAAACTCTTTGTGGTAGATAGGGTTACTGCCTATACCCTTCAGAGGAAGAGGAATGACAACAGGGTACACCATTTCTGCATTCAAAATACAGTCAGGGAGGATTTTTTTCTTCTAGCAGTTCTGCTTGTTGTGATGAATTTTAAAGTCGTACATCACTAAAAGACCAACCTGCCCCACCCCAATTTAATCACTCCACTTCCCAAACTTCTACCTCATTCTGAGTCTGAGCAAAGAGGAATGCTGGGTGGCTATCTGCTTGGTGACAACAGCATTGTTTGCACTTAAAGGGTTCCTTGTACTGGAAGCCAGTGTGCATGGCTGATGCAAGTGCCCAAAGAAGCAGAGTCAGCTGATTGGTGTGACACTTGCCTGTGATGAACATATGGAAAGCTCCATCCCTGAGCATTACCATGGATCCAAGCACTTATAGGAAACAAGAACCCTTGGGTAGGCCCAGTGTTCTTGTGGGAAGGATGCAAAGCCCCATTGAAGCCATATACCTACTTGTTCACAGGCCTTTTGCTGCCCTGCCACTGGGGAAGGGTAAAAGGCTGCCATTTACCTTGTCCTTGATGAGTCACAAGTCTGCTCACCTCTTCCTAACTCTCTGCAGGCAAGTTCCATGGAAGTATCAAAGGCAAGCATGTATTTCATGTAATCACTCCAAATGTTTAACAGGGAGAATATGCTTTCATTCCACATCTGGATACTACTGTTATTATTTAAACGATCAAGATGGACAGCTACTTGCTAAGATCCTAGCAACTGCTACAGAGAGGAACTGATAGGCTTTTCCCCTGCTGTGGGGATGATGCTATTCTATAACTTCAAACACATTTGCTGGTTAGTAAAATCTCATTATGGCTATTGAGAGTTGGTATTCCAAGCAGAGCTATGAAACTGCATTCTAACAATGACAGAAAAAAGCCTGAGAGCAGAATTTTCACCATCAGTTGTGCAATAATAAAGAACAGGAATGGCAGAGCTGATTTTACAGCACTTACCATGAAGGGCAATGGAAAAAAAATAACTATGTAAAAATGGCACTTTCCTTCTTAATAGGTCTCCTGCTTGTGTGTACTTAGAATAATATCTGCTGACATTCGTGAGAGATTATTTACTCCTTTTCTGTTTGCATTAGCCCTGCAAAGCCAGCACAGCTCAAAGAAAGAGAGGTGTGTTCTAATTCCTCCTGTGCCTCTCTTAACTGAATTATTTACTAAATCCAAATAGGTGAGTCTTGTGCAACCACAGTCAAGACAATGGAATTGCAAGCATCACTTAGGACGGAATTTGACCTTTATAACCTGTAGTAGAAGTAGTAGGGGCAGCAGTAGTAGTAACACAGTAGCACATGTCTTAGTTTTACACAAGGACCCCAGGGTGGTTTGGATTTTTTGTGTCCACAGTAGCGATTCTCCACTGGGGTTCTGTGACACTATGCAGTGCTGTGAAATCCTTTTAAGGGTGCCCTATGATATTGCACAATATTAGCACTGTTAGGTATGCAAACACCTGCACATGATTCACAAGATAAACCCAGAGTTTTCAATCAGAAATCCATAGAGTTGGAACCATTCTGACCTGCTGTGGTCTTTCTGAATTTGTTGCAACAAAAGAGTTGCTTTATTATTGTTTTGTAGTAAAAAAATGAGTGAAAGCCAAGAGCCAGGATTTTCCATGGGGTGTCTTGAGTCTAAAAAGATTAAAAAGCACTGGCCTAGAACAATGGCGCTCAACCTTCCAGCCCCGCAGGCTGCAGAAGTGGTATGGGTTAGTTCACAGGTTGGATGCTGCAGGTGGATTTGGTCTCAGGCCAGATCCAGCACAGGGTCAGTGCATGGGGTTAGTCCATGAGTGCAACTCAGCATGCCAGCTTGGCCCTGCATGCTGTACCCAGCCACAAAGTGACCCTGTGCACTGGCACGATTCAGCATGTGGGGCCATGAAATTTGGAAGCTCTTCCAGAGCCAAGGCAATTAATGCTGTCACCCCTTCCCAAAAGCCAAATTTCTGGATTCATGGGTAGTACTGTGGGCTGGATGACACAACCCCATAGGCCAGATATGGCCTGTGGGCTGGAGGATGAGCAACACTGCTCTAGAACAAAGACAGTTCCTGCACCCAAAGGACTCTACAAGCTAGTTAGTCACATCACAGGCTCTATTTCCCCCCACCCCCACTTTTAGTAGTGTAAATCAGGAGTAACTGCTGAACTTGTGTTACACTGGCATATGAGAGAGGAGAATCAGGCCTCTCAGGTCTAGTAGAGGCAGTAACATAGAAGCTTTCTAGACCACAGCTCAGCAGTGTGCCTCAGCCCTTCTGCCAAAAAGGAAGTCCCTCCAGGACTGGAGAAGTTCACATCCCTACTCATTCAGGGCCTGACTCAGATTTACACTTATGCCACTCATGCCAGGAGGTAAGCATGAAAATCATTTAGGCTCACTTTCAGCCTCTCTTCCATGCCAGAAGGCTATAATGGGACTCTTAGGAAAATGAAAGTCAGGCTTTTGATGTTTAGCTTCTCTGCTGTGACTAACATGGGCATAACAGCTACCAATTACTTTCATCTGTGGTGATGAGGATATGATGTTGATATCTGCTGCCAAGTCCTGGACTGAGCCCAATTCATTTCATGCAGGTCATCAAGACTCATCAGAGGACAAGAGATGGTTGAAAACAGGGGGAAAAATATCTATAAAAAACTGGGCTGGCAATGGTTTTGGCCTTTTGTTGAAAAGTTCTCAAGCAGCTTTGGAAATGGGAACAAAGTGTGAAAATAAACAAATATTCCACCATACTTTTCCCAATAATTCCTAATTGTTTTAACTTTCTCAATAACTTCAGCAGCCTCTGCCAGTTACTGTCAATCTGCTCAGGACCCAGGCCTGCCCATACAGCTGCAAATGTTTATAATCTGTTTTCAAGTCCTTTGCACAGTCCAGTCTCCCATGTTTTCTAATTCCATTTTTGTTATTTTGTGAAAAGTCTGTGGGTACATTATAACGTCAGTGTCGTTAAGAGCTTAATAGTAAATAAATAATAATGATTTACAACAGTAGCGTAGAACATGGATACTATGCAGCATTAGGTCCCTCACTCTCTAAAAGATGAGGTTTTGTAAACTAACAAGGGGTAGATATGGCAGTGGAAACAGCTTTCTGGAACGGCTGAGGTGCCCCAGCTGTTTCCTGAAGTTTTTAAGGTGCTGCTTCTCTGATTGGCTGCTTGGGATCAAGGATGTGCCCCTCCTGATCAGAGAAGCAGCACTCTTTGGAGCAAAAGCCACAGCAAACACCTGAGCAGGTCATTCTTAATTAGGTTACCCATTATGAACTAATTAGGATGTGAACCATCTGAATATGAAAGATCTATGTTCTACTGCACCTCTCTCATACTATTCTTTCCCTCAGTAGGTCTCAGAACTTTTTACAAGGTCAGTATCATTATCCCCATTTCACAGATAGGAAGACTGAGACAGGGTGAATTAAAGTGATCTGCCCTAACTCATCCTGTAGGCTAATAGCAGAGTTGGTAAGTAAAGCCAAATCTCGTTATTACAACATTATATAATATTTTTTGAATACTTGCATTAAACAGTTTCCTTTTTTTAGGTCATGAGATATATACTTGCTTATTAATTTATTCACATAATCTTTTTGGTTCAGACAGACATTTCAGTGGGTCCCCTGCCTATCTCCCACATCATGGAAGAAGTAATTGTATTTTTCTATACCTATTCTTAGTCTCCAGTTTACAAAAAGCTCCATACTACAATTGCAAGAATACAGAGTAATCTGTACATATGAGCAGTTAAAAATGACTCTAAAACTGGCCTGCTGGGAGGATTGGGGTCCTATATTTATTGCCTCTCAGCGGGTCTCAGTTTATTGTTATTCATTCCTTAGCACAAATATACCCACTCTGCTGGTTAGACGAGGATGCTTTCATTTACACACACCAGGAACTGCAACAAAGGTTTTTACTGACAGTCCCCTGACACCTCTAGCACTACATTCACTTTAAATGTGACCTGTAAGGAAAGGGGGAAAAATATTCCTATTTTATCTTTGCTTTGAAGAAAAACAAAATATTGAAATGTTTTTTTACTTAAAAAAGCTTTCTTACAGTTTGTTGTTTACACTAGGAGTGAAGCTCTTGGCTATCAGAGTTCATCCTGGAAAACTGGATGTCTGGAGATCAAGTTGGTTTCTGACATAAGACAGTAAGGATGTGAACCTTATGCACTTGCGAAGAGAAGTGATTTTTACTCAGGCTAAAGTCCTTTGCCTTGTTTCTCTTTTAACTCATATACCTCAAAACAGCTGGGAGAAAATGTCTGATGGCAAAGAGCTCATACAGATTTCTTACCTTATCTATTAAAGGCTGATATAATTCTGAGTCCTTCATAAAGGTTTCCAGCGGAAAAAAAAGTGAAAATGCACTCTTAAAGGACCCTATATAATTCTAACATAAAAGACAAGCGCAGAGATGGGGGCTCCTTTGTGCTTTTCTTGTTTTGTTAAAAACTTTTAAATTCTTTTTATGTACTATAATGAGCTTATGTAAAGGCATCTGCAACAGGACAAACTCACAGTTGCTATGATATCAAATATAAAGCTGATTTCATCATCAAAGTTGATAAGACTACCCTAAAATAGCTCCTGAAGTGAAGGAATTATAAACCAATAAGAACTGAATTTGAATTGGCCAACCCCCTCCACCACTCTATAGAAAAATCTATATATTATGGAAACTTTTTAAAGAGCTGATCTGTCATTGTCAACCAACAGGCTAAGGACATTCATTTTCTCCCATTTGCCAGTATTTAGAAATAGGCTCTTATCCATTAGTTCTGGAAGGAAGTATAAAATGAATGTGTATTTAAAGGAATACTTGTGAATTGACATTGTACTTTGTGGAAAGCCACTACAGTATTTTCTGTTGCCACTTGTAATAAACAAAAATATTTATATACAGTAGGCAAAATCTGAAGTAGAGAATGTTTTAGAAAGGAGGATGGCTTCAGACATTTAGAGGGCTTCTGAGTGCAGAAGCAGGTTTTAAAATTAGTTTCTGCTGTTGGATGTAAGACAGACGGTGCCAGAGACAGCAGCAGTGTGAAACAGAGAGTGCTTTTGGTGTTAAACGAAAGAGCAAACTCCATTCTAGGAGATGATTATGTAATTCTGTTTGCTTCCGTCAATGCAAAGTACAGCAGGGACTAAAAAAAAAAAAATGAAAGCAGCCTAGACTTTAATACTTTCAAGTCCCTTCATTGCCTCTCTCATGTTTATCATTAAACAACTGCAAATATTGGCACTAGTTTTAAGATGAGCTGAATTTTTAGATCTCAAGAAAAGATTGAAGTATGCATATCTTTGAAGCATCTGTTCAACAAATGAAAGAAAACAAGGACTTCTAAGGAGCTGCTATCTGCAGCTAGAATTTTTTAATACTACTTTAAGAGTTTTGGAATCCTAATCCATAAGGTTTCTTGGTATTTGTTTATTTGACAAGCAAGACTGTTTATCTGGAAAGGATGCGGGGATTGGGAGTGAGAACTCTGTTCCAGACATTTCAAGTCTTCTTGCCTAAAGTTAGGTCCCTAACTATCAATGGCCTGATTTTTCAGGAACACTGAATATCTCTGTGTGTGGAGAGCACCAACATATCCTGCTAATTCAATGGGAGACTCAACTGTAGAAATTATTTGGGTGACTAATTATAGATTTTTTTGAGTCCAACCTCAGGCACTCATGTCTGTGGATATTGGCACCTGGGTTCCACTCCTGACTCTGACTGATGCACTGAGTGCTGTGTTGGTCAAGTCTGACTTTGCTGATATTTCAAATTCCTTATTGCTCAAATAAATGTAGTCATGGCTTGTAAATCCTCTCAGTGTTGTGCATAAGACGCTCTCTTTGGCATGTAAGGAAGAGACTTAGGGTCCTTGAGCTATGGTTGCATTTGACTCATCCTTAAGAAAAGATGTTTAAAAGCCCTTCTGGTTCTGCAAGCAACATTTGACCCAAGGCAGTGCAGTTTCTCTAGGTCTACTGAAAACAGAGTGAGAGCAACAGGAATCGGGAACAAGCAGTTTTCTAGCTGCTATTCAGAATTTTGCTGGGAAGAACTAATGACAAATTATGCCATTTTGCCATGCTGCTGCCTGTCAAAACTGCAAGCAGCAGCAGAAGCAGAAAAGACATCAGAAAAAAAGGGATCGTGGCATTGGGACCCAAACTCAGTAGACCCAACTCAGCAGTGAGGACATTTGGATGATGGAGAAAGTTTGCAGATACACATCCAACTTCCATAGATACTTATCAGCTAGCAGCTGAAGAAAACATGGACTATGTTCTGTTGTGTGGCGGTAGGAATTCTAGCACCCTCTCCTTTCCCAGCAACTACAGCAAGGGCCCTGCCACACATTCAAATTAAAGCTGGATATGAAACCAGCTATAATGTAGTTACACATGACATAAAACATGGCATATAAAACATGGTTCCCTGCTCCCCATCCCAGAAGAAGCTCTTAAAGTAAGATGGGTTTTTATACACTGATGCTGTGGGGAAGAAGAGTCTCCCTTTTTCTCTCTGCCCTTGTACCTTGGAAGACAAGTCCAGAGATGCCAGTGAGCACCTACATGATTAGGTAGGGAAGAATGCCCAGGACCCATGGTGCTGCTGAGGAAAGCAAGGGAGGCAGGTGGGAGTTGATCTGAAAACCCAGTTTTATCCTTCTGGAGGGAAGTGGGGGAATCTTCTGCACCAGAAAATACCATAGTCCTTTGATTAGCAGGTGTCTAGTATGCTTTACAGTTCCTTGGTATAATCAGATTTACCATGGGTAGGAAGTAGCTTTTCCACAGTTAAGTATGTAATAGATACCATTTACAAAACCCAATTTTAGCCCTTATTTTAATAGTTCAGCAGACTAGATTGGCCTGAAAGTGGCCAGATTTATTCTGCAGATTTACTTCTACAATGTTGGAGCAAAATCCACTACAATGTCTTTGAGTTCATTCATACTAATCATATGCAACAGGCTGAGAGAGGGTTGACAGAGGCATTCTGGCTGAACTGTTTGGGTCCCTGTTTGGTGACATATGCCAGACATTTAAGGATGATAAAAAACAAGAATCATTGGAAAAGGGAAAGAAAGGTACAGATCAGTTCTGGAAGTGAAAAGGAAGTCACAATGTATTCAGTGTAGTGACCCCCTGTGAATTTAAAAAGATTTGGTGCTGAGGGGGACTGAACACAATGGGTACTACCATATATCTTATTCAGACAGGTTGCTTTAACCTATCTTTGTGGTAGGTTCCTATCAGTATTCTTGCCTGACATGGAGCATGTTGGTGTTATTTAATCAGCTTCATAATTGGTTTCCATTACTGAGCATATGCTGCTTTTGGCAGAAATTTAATACTAGACAATGTATTTAATGAGATCTCCTTTTATGCAAATATAAGACAAGGGGATCTTTCCCCCCTGCTGATTGGGAAAAAAACCTCATCTAGTATTTGAGTAAATAAGATTTTCCCCTTTCCAAAACTCCCCATGTGTTGTATGTATTGCCTGGAAACCTGTGTTCCAACAAGAGGAGAAAATTGACTATCAGTAACACAATTTTGCTGTATCCAGGTGCCAAGTTCTGCCTCCACTGATAGCAACTGGATCAGGTAGACACTGATTCAGTAAGACCAAGACCAGTTACTGTGTCCAAAATTTTCAAAAGTAACCATTGATTCCAAGTGTCTCCATGTTGGGCTATGCTCTTTATATCAAGTTGGGGTAATGCCTGTTGTAGGCCTTTGGCCAAAGGCTGTAGACCTATTTTATACAGAAATTCCCCTTTTAGCAGCATCCTTGAAATGAAATATTAAAATTCCAAAATCAAAACAGCAAACATAAACCTACATGGCTATCAGGTGATTACAGCCATGGGTAGACATACCTCAGCTAACTTTAGCCTGAATAACTCAGTTAGTAACATGGTGCATATGATGACTTCAGAGGCCGGAGTAATTATCTGGGGCCCTCGCAGGCTTGCTCAGCTATGGTGAAACTCAGGCCATGGCTTTCTTTGCTGCGTGGTTTTCTGCACTATCTATGGTAAAGCTGCAGTCACACTTCCTGACTACAATGTACACGCACCCTCCGAGAAGAAAAAAAATGATTGATGGAGCTGGCTTGTCATGGTAATATATGCATTTCATTATCTCTGATAAGAAAAACATGTTTGTTTCACTACGTGGGCAGTGCAAGATTTGCAAGGCTCTTGCTTTTATTACATATTTACACTCTGTAAATGGTGTGACAGGTAGTACTGCACACTGTTGTCAGTTAAAAACACTAGCCATTTTAAAACCTAGATGTATTGTTTTTTTTAATAACTTTTATTTAAGGATGCCTGAGACTCCATTATTTAACTGTTGTTTGCAACACACTTAGCAAACCTCAAGATAAAATCTTCAGAAACATTATCAGTGAAGCTTCCATCACTTTTTTCTGGCTGTATCCTTCAATTTTTCTTGCAAGTAAAACATGATGTATGCTTTGTTTGACAACCATGACAAACCTTTCCCCCATCCCAGAATGACATTTTACCTCTGCCTTGTAGATGTTAGATGGGTGATCCCTCCTCCCGCACTCAAAGGTCACCGTTTTGCAGCAGCTGTCTGGTACCACACGAGCCCCGGACTCTGAGGAGAGGATATAGGCACTTTGCTGCCAATCAGTAGAACTATTGCTCCCACAGCACTGGAACTGCAAAGGAAAGGAAAGGCTGATGTTCCATATTTGGGGCAGGATTGCCATCTTGGTTACCACTTTCCAGGGGCACATAATCAATCAGATACCTGTTCTGATCTCATACTAGTAATATAATGGTCAAATTCATTGCCCCTAGGTCACCACTCATATACCTCACATGAATGAGATCAGAAGTGGGTTGTGTGTGGCAAGAGCCATTGCAGCCATGTTTAGAGAAGGAGATCCTGATTCAGAGTGACTGTTTTTGGGTCCCCAAGTGAAGAATGGCAACAGAAATGATCTGAAGTCGCTCAGAAATTCACATACTCTTTGAATCATCAATACTTCCAGAGGCTTGATTGAACTTCTTTGGTTTGGAAATTAGGCAGGATCACGCCACTCTCATGAGATTTCCAGCCACTGGCAATATGAAATGAAACATGAGTTGGGCCACACAGGCAGACACAGCCATGCGAGTGACAGAAGTTTCTCTTACATCTTGCTGTAGGCGATCAATGGAATGTGTGATGTGCGCTTTCCCAGGCAAAGCATAATTCTCAGTCAGGGTCTGGGTCAGGTGCTGTTTCAACTCCTCGCCTAGCTGTAGGCCCAAGCAGAAAAAGGTGCTATGAATATAGGACAAGGAAAATACATAGACAAATATTATTACTCCAGATGTTAGCTGGTGCAAGGCATGATTCAGGATTCATTTATACCAGGAGAAATCAGAGGTCCTTTGGCATCAGTGAAGTTATGGTGCTGTGAAACCAGTGTAAAACTGGAATCAGAGATGAGATATTCATCAAAAAAACAGTTATTTCTTTAAATCTGCTTATAATGACATAAACCCCAAACAAACAAGAAACTCAAAGGTACAAATTATCTGACATTGTAAGGTAGTGTATATAGCTCAAGGTCATTAAACAGAAGAAGACAGAAACCATAATTAGTTTTTTTTAATAGAACGTCCTCTTTCTCGCTACCCCCTCAGTAACCTTCCTTTCCCCAACTCATCATTCCATATTTTATCTTACACAGTGTCTGACAAACAAAAGTTTATGCCTCTCTGAATGAGTTAGTCTCTAAGGGCACCTATACACAGGCCTGATGCCCACTCCAATGCATGCAACCGAAACTCGTTGAATGACACTGAATACACGAGACGCTGTGGGAGCTTTAATTAGAGTGGCTCCCAAGAGCTGCTTTAATTAAGGGACTTGCCTTCCCAACCTGGAGGATGTGTAAAAACACCCTAAGGTGCCAATCTGTTTGGCCTTCTGCCTGACTTCAGACTAACATGGCTAACTATCTCTCTATTTTGTTTCATGTTTGTTTACCTTGTTAGCTTGCATAAGAACTTTAGAAAGGACTTTTGATTTGTTTATTCAAAATCAAATGTAAACTGCCTCCTTATCTCTGATTTGATTAGAGTGAATAAAGATGGAAGTAGTGCTTGAGAAAGACAGAAGGCCTGCATCTGGTCTCCAAAAACCTGGCGAATTAGAGGCAATTGCTTAGAAGTCTATGAAAGGACATGAGCATAAGTGAGGCCAGAACAGGTCCCAAGATTTCAGACAAAATGCACAGGGTACAAGGATGCAGCATGGAAAGTAAATGCACCCAACTTCAAAGCAGAATAAGAACATCTTCACCGTTGTATAACATGTTCAACGCTGACCAAAATATGATATCCTCTTTATGGGTAATGTGGGAGTACTTCTGGTATGCAAACAACGTTTTTTGGAAAGGCATTTGCAATTACAGTCAGCAAATGTAGCATGGTATAATTCTGCAAAATTAAATCCAATTCTAATTCATCAGTAGAGTTGTTTTACTGCTCAAATACACCAGCTGGTAGGAGGGAGAGCAGCACCTCAGAGCTTGGGAACCAACCTCATATAACGTGGGCTCCATTCTAATGTGGCTTCTCTTCTAATGTACCAGCATGGCAGCAGTGATTTCAGAGCTACTCCAGGATTGTGGTCTGGAACTTTAACTAACTTTCTTACAAGGATTTTCTGGTTCAGAACATGGCTGTTAGCCTTCTGTCTTGATATTACACCTATTCATATGAAAGAAGTCTTGGCACAGATGATAAGAATGCCTCACCCCACACATCACTCCAGAGTAACCTGCATGGGAAATGCAGGGAGGATGGGACCATGGAAACGAGCGCCCTGTTTCTCAGGCTTCACAAATACTTCCTGAAGCTGTAGGATTCCCAATCGTGTGCTCAGGGTTATGCAGCCCAAAAGGGCTTGGAGAAAATACCCTGCTCAGCACTGGGGGGGATGGGAGAGAGGAGTCTGAACTACAGCTGAGATTTGTGAATTCTTTTACATGTGTTTTCTGGGACTGGTAGTGGAAATGGGGATTTAACTGTACAGCTATAGATGTAGCAAGGTGTATCTTTCTTCAATCAGTACAGGGCTTTGAGGCAGGAGACAACTTTCCTTTGTGTTGATGGAAAAAAAGCAAGAGGTTTCCTATATCCTGTATTACAATGTTGCACGTTTGAGAGATGCAGCCTGTCACAGGCAAGATTCAGGATTAGATGGAACAATGCTCTGAAGTATTTATTTTCCCATTTACATTGTAATTGTAGAGGTCCATTGAGTTACAACCTCTTCACCACCTTCAAATGCCTGAAAGGGAACCCTGAAGTCCTATATGCTGAGCTCTGTTAACCTGTCTATGCAGAGCCACATGAAGGGGAGGGGTGCATGGGGGATGGAACAGCTAGCCAGGCAGTGCCCTGTGCAGGTTGACTGGCTGTAGAACCTGCATAGAGGAATTATTGCTGCTGCTCCTTTCTTTCCCTGTGGGAAAGGCTCAGCCTGGCTATGAAGGCAGCTAAGCTGGAAAGAACACAGACTTCCAATCCTGAGCACTGCAACATGTTTTGTGATCTAAAGTTTTAATATGCTTTATTTAGTTAGATCGCTTTAGTACTATTATAGCCTGTTCTTTGTGCAACCATTTTAAGCAAATATTTATTTATACTAACATTCTCAGTGACTTGGGATCTGTCTCATAAATTAGTGACTTTCTGACGTCATGTCTCCATCTTATGTTTAATTGTTGCATTTCTATAAATAGTACATAATAAAAATTAAAAATAACCCAAACCTTTCAACTTACCCTTTGATAGTAAATATAGGCCAGAACTCCAGCAACCAGCTCAATGAGGAAGATCAAGAGCAGCAGGGAGAAATACTGAAAAGGAGAGGTGAGGAAAAACCCAAGATATACCTGATTAGAAAAAACTCCACAATGCATTTTCCCCAAAGAAAAAGAAAATATCATGTTCTCATTATGCCCAGAACTTAGGACCTCTTGAGAGAAGATACTTGCCAGACTGGAACACACCCAAAGTCCACCCACACCAGAGTTGTCTTTCAGACTGGCCTGTACCAGTTGTTCCAAAGGAAGGTGTAAAAACCCTGAAGTGAGACAAATGAGTCCCTCCTCACTAGGTCCCATCCTGATTGACATTTGTTAGTTAGAAACCAGCTTAATCCCCTTAAATCTCTCTCCCACATTATTTGTTCTAATTAATTATAGTAACACTGGTAGTTCTCAACATTCACTTAAATATTTGACCACCTTTAAGATCTTAAGCGATCTGTGAGAGATTCATGCTCTGCATAAGAAAAATGGGAAAAATATTCCTTTTTTATCCGTTTGGAATTCCTCCCTTTTATGTTTGTTCAAGGTCACCTTATCCTTGCATTAAGAAACACGGGCCACATCTACATGTGAACTTAACTGTGGAGTAGACTAATTAGCTCTCAGGGACAGTACTATCTTATGTCAGCATAATTAACTGTGATTAAATGCATGTGTAGATGCTGACCAGAGGTGTCAATTGCACCTGATCAGCCCAGCCAGCAGAAGGCCAGACTCTTGCCTGGTGTCCAGCCACACAGCTCTGCACTTTCACCACCCTTGTGCCCCAGCCAGCCCCTCCACTGCCTGACCTCCCAGGTGGTGTAAATTGCTCCGCCCCAGCTAAAATTGCTGCTGTCCTGAGCGCATATGTAGGAACTGTGCCCAGAAGTAGTTTACTTTGGCTCAGACTGCTCTGGAGTTTATTGCTTCAAATTAATGGCACATGTAAATGTACCCAGGAAGAACCAAATGCCACTGTCTTCCTGCTCTAGACCTTTTGTTATTGCACATACATCTATTGTAGCCTTTCTTCTGTCTCCTGAGACAGTCACAATCTCTCATCATCAGACAGTTTTACCAGGCCCTAGGTCCTTCTTGGTGTTCTTCTCCAAATCTTTCCTAGTTCTGTAGTGTCCTGTTTTGAGACTGATGAGTAGGACTGGTCACCCAATCTCAAGATGAAGCTGCACTATTGATATATATCTGGAGTCAACAACCTTTTGCCAGCACAGGCTGCCCTCCTCTTCCCCTCATAAAGCAGCCAGCTGCCTGCACTTTAAGCACTCATCCCTAGCCCAGCCTACAGGCCGTAGGCTACTGAGCCCTGATTTATATAAATACATCCTAATGTTCTTCACATTATTTAACATGCCATTCCTTATGCATCCTGACAACCTTTTTTTAAATCATAGCTCTTCATTGGGCAAATGTGTTCATTGTGCTGCACGGGTCCCTACAATCCCCATATTGATAAACATCATTTAGAAATCTTTGGATGCATCAAAATGTTTTGTCTGTTTCCCTCCAATATGCATTACTTTGAACTGCTGATGCTGAATTTCATTTGCCATCATGCTGCCCATTCACTTATCTTGTTTCAGTCTCTGTTCCTCGCAGTTCTCTCTAGTCCTGACTAATCTAAATAGCTTTGTGCTGTCTGCAAATTTTGCTGCCTCACTCCTCCCTGCTTCCTGATCATTATATATATGTTAAATTGTAGAGGACCCATATACAGAGGCACCCAGCTGTAACCTTTCCCTGTGATGAAAACAGAATAACCCTACTCTTTTGCTTTTTGAGTCCAGGGCAGTCTTCTGATCTACACACTTCCATCATGACTATTAGCTTCTTTAGTAGCCTCTAGAATGGGACCTTGACCATGGCCTTTCAGGATCCTGAATAAATTGTGTCAGCCACTTCTACTTTCACAGCAAAATCAAAGAATCCCACAAGGTTAATGAGACATGGTTTTCCTTTGCAAATACCATGCTGGCAAAGACTAATGTCAAAATATCAGTCAGTCTTTCTCCAGTCTGCCTTTCCTCACTGACTGTCTCGCTTTTCCCTTTATTTTCTGCCTGAGGTCTTCTTGCCTTAATGTTCATTTTCAAACTTCATGCTTCTGCACTTAACTTGCTGTTCTGTCTTGTAAGACGATGCAACAAGAATGGCACTGCACAGCTTCGTATCTATTTTCTTGTCTGAATATGCTCTCACCATACTATAGAAAAACCCCTCACTGGTACTAGGTCAACTATATCCAGGTTCTAAGTAAAAAGGCATTTTTCCTAGCCACCAGCACAGCAAACACTCATGCACCAGCACCTAGGTTATCCTGGAGAGGTCAGAGACTCTTCATGAGCATAAAATTAGGCATGTACGTAAGTGTTCGCAGGATTGGGGCAACATCAGAGTCAAGCTGAGAGTCAACTCAGAGTGTCAAGCTGAGTCCTTTCCTTCTTGACTATCAATGGTAACAGAGACTCAGTAAACAAAAGGATGCCTTTAGTGATGCATGAATAAACCTTACTGAGCTTAAAAACAGGGTCAATGGAACCAAATAAACCAATCTCAAGGAGGAGCAGAAACCAATTCTATGTTGAATTGTGCTGGCTTCGCAAGGCTGACTTTCATCTCTCTGGATCAGCAGAAACCTGGGAACCTAGGATCTTCTGCATGCATCTCTTTTGCTTGAACTACAAGAAAAGCTCCCCTCCAATAGAGAGGAGGTAAGAACAAACCCCTTATAGGACAGTGACAGAAGTACAAATTGAATTATTCTTTTCAGTATGTGTTTGGAACATGATCCCATCATCACAAATTTCTTATTCTGCCAAAGCAACAAATGGATGACATCATGGATGCACCCTTGTTCAAAACACTAGTACCTGATCAATTACATTATAATATATGCCCAGAACAATTGCAACATTCATATTACCAGAGCTATGACAAGCACAGATGACTGCTGGATGGATCATCACTGGATATGATCTGTCATGGCCATTTGTATTGCCCCAAAACAATGTAAACAAAAAGAAGCTATGAAGGAAGATGTTCAGTATTGAGTGTTTGAAAGACTTTGCTAAAAGCAATCATCTCCATCAGTGGCACTGTGTCAGGAACTCTGAATAGGCAGGCCAGCCTGGGCCAAGTACCTCATTCAGCTAATGAACTGTCCCAGTTTAGGAACAGCAAGCATCTTGATCTGCTTCTGGGAGTGCTGCCTCTCCATTTAGCAGCAGCCTGTGTTTGCAGGCCAGTCAACAGGTCTGCTGTAGCAAGCCTCCTGGTTCCTGCACTCATTTTCATGGTTTTGGCTTATTTCTGGGCTTCATTTTGGCTCTACTCTTGGACTTCACCCTGTGGATTACTCCTTGGACTGGTACTTGGCATCTAATCCCTGGCTACTGATCCTGGACTATGTTGTGGACTCCTGTCCCTGGATTTCCCTCTAGTTTTGGTGATATGGCACCTGTCCCCTGACCCTGCTTTCCCTCAGTGGTCTAACCATTAGACCAGACTGACTATGCCCCAGTCCTTTACACTCAGTGACAAATTCTCCAACCTCCCACTGATCACTGAGAGCCTCAAGAAAGGTGTCCATGAGGCATGTGAAGAATCTCTAGTCTTTGTCACAAAGAAACATCAGGACAGGGTCAAGGATGATAGAGAAATTCAAACTCCCGTTGACAGAAAAAGGAGATCCTTCAAAGCTTCACAGAACGATGACAACTCCAAACACAAGCGAGACATGTATCACTACATTAAAGCTGAGCTTCAGCAAGATTCAAGAGCAAAATAACAAGTGGTGGGAGGACAAAGTGAAAGAGATTCAGAAGTTTGCTGACAGTCATGACATGTATAGTTTCTTCAGCACAACTAAAGCATTTATGGGCCAAGCACACAGGGAGCCATCCCTCTGAGGTCCAAGGATGGTACAACACTTGTTAAAGACAGCTCCATCATCAACATGGAGTGGAAGGAACCCTTTCAAGGTCTCCTGAACTAAGATTCTCATGTTAAAGACAATGCTATCAAAGTCCTTAATGGGGTATTGTGGAATGGCTAACTTGTAGATCCACCAACCTATCAAGAGGCCTTGAGAGCCATTAAGCAGATGAGGAACAACAAAGCACGTGGTCCTGATGGAATACCAGCTGAAATTTATAAGCAAAGTGGACAAAAGCTCTCTCACCAAGTACCCATTGTCATTCTGAAAATCTGGAAACAAACATATTCTCAGTGACATGAAGGATGTAAAATCATTATCACAGACAACAAAGGAGATAAAATGGATGCAGTATGTGCCATGGTATTGCACTGCTATCTATAGCTGGGAAGATCCTTTCCCGCATTCTCAATGGACTTACCTTCCTCACTGAGGAAATTCTACCTGAGTCCCAATGTGGTTTCAGACCACTCAGAGGTACAATAGATATGAATTTTGTTGCCAGAAAGCAGCAGGAGAAATGCTACAAGGAATATTGAGATTTTTACATGGCCTTCATTGAGATGACTAAAGCCTTTGATTCAATCAGCAGAGACCTTGTGGAAGAGATTCGGATGCCTGACAAAATTTGTTAACATCAGACTTCTTCATGACTGTAAGAGACCGTGCCATTCCCCAGAGCGTCTGGTGTGTGCCAGTCTGTTGGATGTTGCCGCTGTCCATGGGAGACATAGTCAATGATCGAGAGGGTTCCGGAGGGTCCTCAGTGTTTTTCGCCTGCCATGACTTTGCTGAAAAAATATGTTTAGTAGGGAGGAAGATGTACGCTCCGTCCCGTCTGATCCCTTCCTTCAATTCTTCTCTCAGTCTTTCCATTTTGGGGACCCACCTCCCCTACACCCCACCTGGCGCCAACCAATGATGTTGTATCCCGATCTTCTGGGTCTAGTCATGGTCTTGGTACACATCTTGGCCTCTCGAAATGGTAGGCCATGTATGAACATCAGTTCACCTCACTTGGCGCCCACCTCAGTGGCACTGACTTAGCTTCGGTCTGTTTCCAGGTTACCTGGTCTCCTGTCGTCAGTCTCAA